TATTATTATTATTATTATTATTCGTAATATAAAATTATTATATATTATTATTATAGTACAAATATGAGATTGTATATTTGAGGATGACTTAAATGAATTAATTTGTACAAGTTATACTGACAACATACATAGACATTTCGGTAGCTTACTCATCAGAACTTCACAGTTAAGCGTGCTTGACCTGGAGTAGTACTGGGATGGGTGACCTTCTGGGAAGTCTCCCAGAAATTGCACAAGTAAGAATAAAACACGCTAAACAGTGAAATATTGTGAAATAGAACCCTTGAGAAGCCAAATATGAGAGTTGTTACATTAATAAATTTATTAAAATTAAAAAAAAATTATAATTTCCGACGGATTTCTCCGTCGGAAAATTTGACAGCAATTTCTGACGGATTTTTCCGTCGGAAATTTTGACAGCAATTTCCGACGGATTTTTCCGTCAGAAATTTTTGACGGAATTTTCTGTTGGAAAATTCCGTCGGAAAAATTATTTTCGACGGATTTTTTTTCCGACGCCACTTTTTCCAACGGATTTAAATCCGTCGGAAATCCTTCGGAAAAAACAAAATCCGTCGTAAATTTACCTATTTTCGTCGGAAATTTCCGTCGGAAATCAGCATTTTTCTTGTAGTGTTTCCACAATTGTAAGGGAGTAACGTGTCTGCCGTCAAATTTGTGGAAGATAAATTGGAGGGTTAAAAGGTAATAAATAAAAAAATCTCAGTAGTTCTTGTATGACAGAAGCAAGTGAGACCCTTTCTCTCATCCTGTGTCTGCTGCACACTTTCTCTTCCTTTTTTTTCCCTTTTCTCTCTCACTGTCTGAGTGAAGAACATGGCTGACCCATATGGTCTCCCGGAGGATCTCCGGCGACTGATATCATCCAGAACCCATTTAAACCCTTCCAACACCACACACTTACTGGAGCCACTATGTCTTCACCACACTCTCAGTGCTGTCACTGTTACCACTCCACCCAACAGCTATGACCCCAACATGGTTGGGGACGTTTTCTTCCCTCGTCCCTTCACTCACTTCGCTCATCATGACTACTCTTCCACCTCTGCTCTCAACCCCACAACCACTGCTACTGCCTCGGATCACGCCACTGCCACTGCTGCATTCTGCAGCATAGAGACTGCAGAGAAAGGGTGGTTTGCCTTTGACTCCGGGAACAACAGGTGGCCTAGACAGGAGACTCTCTCGCTTCTTGAGATCAGATCTCGTCTTGATTCCAAGTTCAGAGAGAATAATCAGAAAGCACCCTTGTGGAATGAGATTTCTAGGTATATATTTTTACATGTATATACAAATTTAGAAGAGTTTGCGAGAGTTTCTCTGCTAGAAATAAGAATTTTCTTTTAGCAAAAAAAAATATTCTTCTAAGCTTATATCCTAGCAGAGTGAAAAAGACCTACTGTTTTTTTAGTTTTATTTTCAGACTCGGGATGAGTGGGGAAACGTATGGTGGTGGTGACCAGTGAGGAGTGAGGAAAATATGGTTGTTCTTACTGTCTCTTCTTTTTGTCTTGCTGGTTTTGCAATATTTTGGGGGGAGGGAGAGTGATGGGGGACTAATTTTTTCTTTGGGTTTGAAAATGACAGGCCATTACTTACAGATAACTGGGAGATCCATGTGGCTATTGTTATTATCTATTTCTAGTTTTGTCCATGAAACTCCACTGACTCAGTGTGTATACTTGCACTGGTTTTTCTGTGAGGAAGTAATTATGGGTGCAAGGATTTCTCACCCTGAAAGCCTGTCTTTGTTTTGTAGTAGTACTATTAAACCTAGCTATATAGCTAGCCACTTTACTCAGCTAGCTAGGGCTATGTATTGGTGTTTATTTTGTTGATTCAAACTCGGATATTTGTGTTGATGTTTCTGACATCTTTAATGAAGAGAGAATGTTTTCATTATTTTAATCCTTTAGCACAACATGGATAATATACGGATATTAAAGAAGAGAGAATGATGATGACAAAAATGCTTAATGGAGAAATCTTTCAAGGATTTATAATTATACGAATGTTAATTCCATGCATGCATGACAAAAAAAATAAAAACTTATGTATTATTATTTGTTAGATTTTTTAACCAGGTAATATTGTCCTATTTCTCTCACCGCAAATTTTATCCGAGAGAAAGGGGTGGGGGTAAAAAAAGAGAACATGGGATTTTTGAATTGTGATTAATGTACTAATTAATTAATCTTCTTCTCCTTCATGTTTTGTGAGTATGTATAATAATTAGTAGGTGTGTTATCTTCGCGTTTAGGATAATGGCTGAGGAATTTGGGTACCAAAGAAGTGGAAAGAAATGCAAAGAGAAGTTTGAGAATTTGTACAAGTATTACAAGAAGACCAAGGAAGGTAAAGCTAGTAGACAAGATGGGAAGCACTACAGGTTCTTCAGGCAGCTTGAAGCAATATGTGGAGATCAATCGAACACTACTCATGCCTCACCTTCAGATAAAACCAATCGTGCTGGTGGAAACACTGCTAGTATTCAAACACCAAACCTCACAATCAACCAAGACCATAATGGTGAATCTAGCAACAACCCCAAGTGCTCAGAGAGCCTCAGCATCTCAAACTCATCTGAATTGGAGACATCCTCATCTGAAAACAACGACGAGGATCTTTCAGCCATTGCATTCATGATGAAGCAGTCAAGGGATGAGAAGCAGAAGGGGTCAGATCACAGACAAAGTGATCATAGGAGGGTGAGAAGAAGCTGGAGAGCCAAAGTGGAGGAGATTGTGGATTCTCACATGAGGAAGATCTTAGAGACTCAAGATGCTTGGATGGAGAGAATGTTGAGTGTTGTTGAGCAAAGAGAGCAAGAGATGGCATCTAAGGAAGAAGAAAGGAAGAGGAAAGAGTCAATGTGGTTTGACCAACAAGTGCATGAACTGTGGGCTAAAGAGAAAGCATGGGTCGAATCAAGAGATGCTGCATTGATAGAGGTTGTGAGGAAACATATTGGGGTAGGGGTAGAAGCATTGCCATTCGATGAAGGTATACCAAATAAGAACAAGAGCCAGGGAGAACATATTGATGCCAATGAATTTGCCTCTGATCATGGAAGTAGTAGGTGGAGTGAAATGGAGATTTCAAATTTGATACAGCTGAGGACTGGTTTTGAACAAAGATTCAGGGAAAATGGGGGCTTGGAGAATGGGCTTTGGGATGAAATAGCAGAAAAACTTGCTTGTTTGGGGTGTGATAGGAGTGCAAGTGAGTGCAAGCAAATATGGGATGAGATCAGCATTTCCCTAAGAAGGACAGTGGAGTGTGATGGTGTCAAAAGAAGGCCTTGGTATTTGGGACTTAAGCTGACGGATGATGATGATCTTTGACACATTCTTGTTCTAACGCATGCAGGCATATCAGAGAGGTTAAGTGTATATCACATTTGCTTCTGAGTTCTGAGTGTGGAGAAAGGGAAACTTGTGGGAGAAACAAGCTAGGGCGTGAAAGGGTTGTTAATTTGGATCGATGTAGCAAGTTTGGCTCATTTGCGAATCACAAGGTATTCTTAATTCTAGCTAGCTAGACGCCTAGACCAAGTGTTTAGCTATATTTATATATTTAATATAACGTATGAGGACTCATGCTTCGGTGTAAGAATTTGACTTTGTGTAATTTTATCCATGCATCAAATGCTAGAGTTAATTAAGTTATTATTATTGGTCAACTTTCTTTGTTATGTTTGTTTGTTTTTTTTTAATTCATCATAATCACAATAAAAATTTAAATTTAAGACTCTATTCATACTATCTCAACTTTCATTAATTATTAGGTCTACTTTAATAATTTTTAATTTTTTTATTATGAATTTTGTTATATTTTTTAATAGATGTTTTATAGACACTCACTAGATAAAAATACTCTCACAATACTCTTTAAGATTTTAATTTTTAATAAATTTTTAAAAAAATTGCTTGACTAATTTTTTTTTTTGTCTTATGGATGGGTTTCTCCAAATTATTGGGTGACTAAAAAATCCAAATTTTTTATTTTATTTTTTTATCATCTATATATACGTACGTATTGGTTTTGCAGTTTCAAGTTGTTGTTAACAGGCTCATGATCATATATCTGGACAAGGATTTTAGACTTGTAAGAAAAGGAGAAAATCGAATTGAAGATGGAAGAAATAAAAATACTTGGTTATTGCAAAATCTTTTTCATTATTTTCGTGTTTAGAAGATTTTCATTGCGCCTTCTCTTTTTGTACATTTTCTCCCACCAGGTAAAGAATTTCTTTATGTAGATTGGAAATAACCTCAGATTTAATTTAGGCTTATGAGAAGAAGCACACAAATGAAATAAACCTTAGAAATTACAAAACCGTGTCACTACAATTTATATGAAAATTTATCCTTGAATACATATTTATCTTCGTGATAAAGGTTATGAATACGATACACACTCTTCACAACATATATTTCCTCTTATTGGTTTATCAGAAATTACATAATTTGAGTCTCAAAGTATATTAATAAAATTCTTCCATAATTTTGTAATTTTTGATAATGTTTAACCAATAAGTTAATAAGATAAGTGTTAAAAAAAATATTGCCAGCACTTTTCTTATCTATACACATTTATGTTTGCAATTATACTTGTTATCAGTTCATGGTATACAATAAAGGACGTATGAAACAAGTCTGCCACCATTAATAAGTTAGTCAATTTTTTCTGCAGACGTACTATATATTAAATAAACACATTCTAATTTGTACACCTACACAGTTGTTTCAGACTTAGCAGTATGATCATTTTAATGCATAGAACTGGTATATATATCAGTTACATTCTATGTGACCAAACGTTAAATATATATATATATATATATAATAGATAGAGGAATTAATGATAAACCAGGGCAATACATCAATTTGATAAGATAGTCTCTTGATGGTATACAGAGGGGGTTAAATTAGCGTCTGTAGTATATTGCAATTGGTTTACTTACTTTTTAAAATTAATATATGTTTAATTGAATCAAATGCTTGGGAGACTTAAAAAAAACCCGAATCAATATTCTTGAATTCGAATTTTAGAATAAATGTATCAAATATATTGGGAAAGTTTTATACTATCCATAGTTTTTTTTATTTATTGAATTATGAAGTGTATATACATTAAAAAAAGAAGCAAAAACACTGAATGCATGACGATATGCTTACTGTCTTACTTTTACATGAACTACTCAAGGCATATACGATTTAAAGCTAAAACTTTTTGCAATTTACTTGCTAAATTAGCCTTCTGAAATTCTTTGTCACTAAAAGAGTAAAATGACATCACTATGGTGCCTACAGCTATACCTTTATCGTCTAACATTAATGCACTCTTTGCATCGAAATAAGAAGATTGAAGATCGAGGAGGAAAGAAATTTTATTTTGATAGGAACACTTTATTTTCAGCGAGAAAGAAAAATAAATTAATTTATCATTATATTTTTAAAATAGACAAATAAAATCACTTTATTTTCAGCGAGAAAGAAAAATAAATTAATTTATCATTATATTTTTAAAATAGACAAATAAAATTACTAAATTAAGTCTAATTAGTGTAAAAATTTATATATGTCAATTTCAAACTATCCCATTTTGAGACGAGTCAAAATTGAACGGGAAAGAAATTTAAATTCTCTCTCTATAAAAAAAATGTTACATACAATGACATATAAAAAGTGTCACTATAAATATAATATATATAAGTATATATTTATTTGACATATAACTACTACGCATAATTCTAGTGTTGATTTTGAATGAAATTCAACAACATATTTTATATGTTATTATAGTTTATATCCACAATTTTTAACAATATATCAACATATTATATTTATTATATGGATAAAAATAATTTTTAGTGACACATATTGTGTATCTATAGAGTATGTGTCATGACAATTTTCTTATAGTGCCTCCTAATTCCTTTTTAAAAATTAGAACTAATTATAAAAATCACTCTCCTTCCCTCTTCTTTATTTCATGCATTCCCTCCAATTAAGTACTATGTAAAGCTCAATCTAATTAGAGGACATAGTGGAGGCTTATTCCAAATTTGCTCAAAAAGAAATCAATAGATTTTCATCACATGCATTAATTATATAAGTACATTGAAAACTACGGTAGATGTGGTGAAGTTTATATTATCAAACACCCAAGAAGGGGAAAAAGAAAAAGAACGAAAAGAAGCGCATGGGAGGAACTATTGCTAGTAGAAATATGCATAAGTCACAATCTACCTTAATGGAGTTCAAGGAAAGAAATGGTTAATGATCTTCAGAGAAAGGGTACTAATTTATTCCAATGCTCTTTGCTCTCTGAAACTCAATTCTGTTGGTAACTTTATTATTTTTGCCCCATTTTGCCACGAAGAAGGTCAACAATTAAAAAATTAAACCTTATATGGAAAAAAAGTAAATTAATTACATATAACACTTGCATGTGAATCCTAATCGATTTGTTGAGAAGAGGAGCAAGTATTACATGTAGAAAAAAAAAAAAAGGTTTTGTTTTATTGATAGAGAAAAAGTGTTGATTTGATTTAGTAATTAAAAGTTCACGGTGATATATTTAAAATCATGGCATATGCATGGTTTGTAACTTTATTTTGTTGTATCCATTGAACATTATACTCTCGTGTGTTACGTATGATATATGAATTGGGAGAAGCATGCATGTGAGTGCTATATTCTCGGCGTGTAAGAAGAAAACAAGTCTCGTGACCTAGATGCAAAAATTGTCATATGTGGTCTCAATCCAACAACCTTATTTACACGTAGGGTAAAAACATGAACCTTGTATATGTCCTTGGATTATACGCAATCCACACTGTCATGAACTGCTCAGAGCCCACGCCTTAATAGAAGAAGAGACCCACTATTGCTTCAAGGAATATTAACCTTAATTCAGTGTTTGATTAACGTTACTTTTTTTTTGGTGAATTTTTATTTTGGTCAATAGATTAACGTTATTTTAATCGCTGAAATTAGAAGATATTATTAGGGTAACCTTTGTTTAAACTTAAAAAATGTTTTTAAACAAGTGTTTATAAAAAAAATAATTCTTTAAAAAAAATATAGAAATTATTTATATAAAATTGCTGATTTTAAAAAATAAAATAAATAAACACTTTAATAAGATGTAAAATGACTTATTTTATTAAAAAATATTTTAAGAAAAAAAAAATAGTTAAACAAATCGTATATTAATCTCTAAAATCTGATAGATCGGGATTTGGTGGTCTCATTCAAAATCACCTAAACCAATGATTCATAGGTTTTACGAGGATCATATAACATTTATACAAAGCTCAATGCAACCCCTCTTTGGCCTATACCAAGATCTTCATACCACTTGGAAAAAAGGTCTCGACAATGTCATTTGTAAAGCTGATGACTTATTATATGTTAAACAATCTATTTATAAGCAGAAATCATATAAAACCTTCATCTCTGAGATTCGTCAGATACCCTTAATCTCTTATATAATTGGCAAGTTAGTATTCAACACAATTATAGAAAAGACAATGTTTGCATAGACTAGCTAACAAAACATGATTCCTCCTCAACAAATTAATGAAGAGATCGTTACTTGAAATATATATATATATATCGACAACCTTTATCCCCACATATCAAATATGTCTTGGGTATCTGTTATGTTAGACCTTAGTTGTTTTTCTTTTCTATGCTTTATTTTTTTTTTTCTATTGCTAAAAAAAACTAGCCTCTAAACTTAAAAAAAAATCAAATAAATTTTGAAATATTAAATAAATTTCTAGCTTTAACTGCTTACTATGATTTTTATCTTTAAAAAAAATCGTTTTGAAAAATTTTAAACTAATGTAATTATTGATTTATATTTTTAGAGACTTATTTAATATATTTTTGTTTTACTAAGTTACTGTATTTTAGCTATTTTTCTCAAGGACTAAAGTATTGTTTATTCAAAAAATTTAAGGGGTATGTAATGTAGGCGAAGGCGCCTCAAGTGATTTACCATGGACTACTTAAAAATATCACTTTTTTAATAAAAATATCTTATTTAAAAAAAATATATTTATACTATATAGTTTCTCTTCGACTTCTACTCTCCAAGCCCAAATCGTATGGTCCAAGCCCCAACCAATAGCCTCCGTCATTACTGGAATCCTATTGTTTCAACATAAACTGCCAAATGAAGAAGATGGACTTCAAAGCCATAAACAGTTTGAGCATGGAAATGAGAAAGTGGCTACAGCATCGGATCTCTAAGCAAAGTACTATCCCATAATAAATGTTGTCACATGTTACTTAGTTTATACGAACTAAAAAAAATTAATGAATAAATTAAAGAAAGTAATATTTTTTTAAAATTAATCTAATAATTGATTTTTTTTTTATTACAAATGATACAATATAATAATCATTTTCTAAAATATTATATTTAGATTGTAAATGAAATTTTTTTTTATACTATATTAAAAACTAACATAAAACCTTAATTTAAAACTCATTTTTTTCATCTTCTGATACAGCACTTATTATAAGACAAATATAGTGGAAGTATAAGAAAAATATTACCACACTTTATCTAACATGCCTTTTATTATTGACATATTTAATATAAGTTTTTCTTTTTGAGAAATACTCATTAAACGTAAGATTCACCGAAATTT